AGCTTCTGTTAAGTTTAATTCCATCATCATGTGCTTTTGTCAACATGATTAGTTGTACCGATTTGCCTTCTCGGATCTTTGCTATAACCGAAGAGTAATTATTTTGAATGTAGAGCAATTGTCATGTCGATGCCCCTCTTCCTTTCCTTTAGGGATTTCAATCCTCCTATTGATCACCATATTTCCACATTTCCCAGTCAATTACTTGAATGCTTTGTGATGAAGGGTCAAGAGAATAAAAAGAAAGGGATTTATTGCAAAGGCTTGTGTTTTAGTGAGATTCTTTTTATGAAATAATAGTTTCTGTAAGAATGGCTAGCCAAGGTTGGTCGGTGTTTAGGCTAGTTTAAACAAACGTTTTGTTTTAATGAGGTGGCGTCTTCAACTACCTATTTGTGACTGATTAACTTTCCTAGTCTGCCCTTTTGGGTTTTCGGCCTAGGATGCTATGTTGTGTCCTAACTTTTGTCTAGGTTCCCCTTTTCCATTTTTTGGGATACCTAGCGGACTTTATTTTGTCTATGACGCTTTGATTGTTTTGACGCATTTTGGATCAAAACGTTTGCCTAAACATGGTTATTTAATGGGGTATAGACATATTTAGCAAGAAGAGAAGCAGATAGTAAGAATAGCATTCTTTTGTAATTCAAAGGGAAATGCGTGCCCTAAAGATGCTCGAGGGTCGGGCACACCCCGAGGAGTGATCTCTAATAGTCATTGGGTTTACATCCCTTAAAATCGGAAGAAGGGCATTTAATGACTAATGCTACCCTTGACGCTAATATCCCTCTTTTTTGGAAGATCGTCTTTTTAAGGTACGGAGGGGAGACTTCCCTTTTCATCGTACGACTTGTTCTTTTGTAGGGTTGTACTTTAAAGGATTATCCTTAAAATCTGGTGGCTCTCTTATTCTTTGAGCATTCTTTCTAAGCCCTTGTCTGGGCTGTATCCATATCTTTTCATTATATGGGCCACTTTTAAATTGTTAGGAAGTCTTTCCATATTTTCAAATGTCTTCTTTAGCCGCATCCATTTAAGGTGTGGTGGACGGTTCGCTGATTCGAATGTAGTCTTTAACTTGAACCATGATCAATTTGTCGCCTACCACAAATTTGATTTTTCGGTGGAGCGTTGAAGAAACTTCCCTAGCACCATTAATCCAAGGTCTACTTAATCTTCCCCTTGGATTCTTTTTTTCCTTGTCTCTTCGGTTTCTTTATTTTTCCTTTGTTTTTAGGAACATTATCTTGTAGCTCCTTGGATGAATAAAATTTTTTTTGCTTATCATCCTGCCCCCAATGTTGGCTATATTGGAGATATCTTCATTGACGGACAATCCTTTTGTGCATATCCATAGTACAGCTTTATCCGATGTATAAGGGAAAGGACAAGGCATGAATAAGCGCAAAGGTGTTATTGCCTCTTCCCTGATATTATCAATTTGGGTGCTAATGTTTACTTCTTTCCTATTATCTCCTTGTCCCAAATTAATGGCCTCAGTTTTTTCTTATGGGGCTGTATCAATTGAGCTTCTTTTTTCCAACAGTCTTTGCATGTCCGGGGAAATGGTCCCCTCCTCACTGTCTGACTCAATCCATTCGCCTTCAGCTTTTGGATCTTCCAGAGAGTTTTCAATCACAGACATGACTGTTATGGTTATGCTTTGTTTTAGATTTCTTTATTAAATGTGTAAGAGGGAAAAGAATAACAGAGAATATGAATATTATGAAAAAAATGCCTCATTGTATTGATAGAAAGAAAATATTTACAAAGCCCTTATTAACAAAAAAATCTCGTGATCATGGGCAGGGGTCACGAGGAGTACATCGGAAGCTTTTCGATATATTTTATATATTTTTTTATTACATTTTTAGAGATGATAAAAATGATGAGCCCTAGATAGCTGGTCTTCCTTATCCCGTCTTTCATTCGGGCTTTGATAAGGGCTAGTCATCCACTTTTGGAGTTGACGCGTCGAAAGTAATCCATCCTGCATCTATTAAATCTTGGACCTTATGCTTTAAGGCCATACAGTTATCTACGGAATGTCCCGGAGCGTCTGAATGATAATTGCATTTTTTGTTTGGCTTATACCATTCTGGATATGGTGACTCCATTTTCTTGGGAGGGACGCGTACTAGGAGTTTGGCATCCAACAATTTTAGCAACAGGCTTCCATAAGAAGTGGGTATTGGAGTGAACTTCCTTTCCGGCCTGCGTGACTTGGTCTGCTGCGAGGAGGACGAAGGAGTGGTGAAGTTGATAGCATTTACGTCTCCTTCCTTCTTCTTTCCAAAGTTCTTTTTAAAGTTTTGAGTAGAGGAATTGGAGGAGGTTTGTTGTGCAATTCTTCCACTTTTTAGACCTTGCTCTACTCTTTCTCCTATAATGACCACATCCGCAAAGAGTGTTGATGTGTTCCCTATCATTTTGTCATAATAGGGACCAGTCAAAGAATTGATGAACATTGATGTAGTTTCCTTGTCGGACAGAGGAGATTCCACTTGTGCTGCCAATTCCCTCCATCTTTGAGCATATGCTTTAAAAGATTCGTCGTTTTTCTTGCTTAGTAGTTGTAGATCTGCTCTTTCAGGGGTCAGATCAATATTGTATTTATAGCGACGAAGAAAAGCATCCGCCATATGTCTCCAGGTTTGGATTTGCCCTCCTTCCAGTTGCATATACCAATTTAGGGCTGATTCAGCTAAGCTTTCCTGAAAGCAGTGGATCAGGAGCTTTTCATTATCCGCATATGCAGCCATCTTACGGCAGTACATTGTAAGATGGCTTTTGGGGCAGGTCATCCCTGTGTATTTTGGGAAATCCGGAGTTTTGAACTTATTAGGGAATTGGATATTTTTGATGAGGCACATGTCAGCCGCCTCTTTAACATCAAAATTATGCCCTTCCATGGCTCTCAATCTCTCTTCAAGGGCAGTCAGCTGTTGTTTTGATACTTCCGGAGCATGAATATGCACCGCCCTTGTATCAGATTGGTTATGCTCATCATTGGGTCCCTCTTCCTCTTCTTGGTGAGAGGCTTGTCCACTTTGGGGACCCTCCTTATGGATATTCTGCTGGTGCATCATTTCCAGCATTTGAGCCATTTGATCTTTTAGCGTATTAAGCTCAGTAGTGAGCTTTCGGTTTTGTTCCTCCAGCTGTTCCATCTTCTTAATTTTCTGAGCACGAGTGAGGACGGGCGGAAGACCAGCCACTTTCTAAATGATTTTAACAATTTTTATTATAGCTTTTTAAATGATTGGTGTATCCTGGAATGAATGTGTTTATATATGAGAGATTTTATTATGATGATGTTTATGCATACCTTTCTTAGTGCATTTATTTTCTCTCTTAATTTTGCCTCTTATTGGATGATGTGGTATGAATGATACGACTTTGCCAAGAATCTTTTTAAAGTAAAAAGATATTTTTATGTTTTTAAATTGTATGTTTTTTATGACCCTTTATCTCTTCTGTCGGTCAACGTGGCTACTTAGCTTACAAAGAACCTGAAACCAGGCTAGCTTAATCGAAGACTGTCCGAGATAAAGGTCTTTTATCTTATCACTTTTTGTGATTTTTAGGGGTTTTCATTTTTTTGTTTGTTGTATGATTACCCTATGCTAATGCATCAATACAAATGCGGCAAACGTATGCACACACAATTCATACATCCACGAGCGAGCCACGCTTATTTAATCACGAGGTAGGGTTTTCCTGCAGAAACGTGCTTGGTTTAGGCGGTTCTAACTGTTCTCACCAAGGCCAAAGGTCCCCAAGGTGCCCCCATTATAGGGACCTCTCAATCTCTCGGTCCTCGGGTCATGCACGGAACTCTGTGTCGACATCCTTAGACCAAAAGAAGAGAGTTATCACCTTGAGTTGGTGGTTTTCGACAACGGTTGTAACCCCGTGTGCCAACAAGCCGGTCGTATCCGCCACCCACTCCCTATAGGTATTCACTCTTGCCCCCGGGTATAGAGGGACTGTTGTGTGCAAGAGTTTTTGTGTGCAATTTATATTTCAAGCAATTTGCAGAAGTAATCATACAGCAGTTATTAAAGCCATACAATAAAAATACAGAAAAGGGTAAAGGCGTAATTTCAAATCTTTACTTAGTTAGAATTTATCCGTCACTGAATGGGATCAACTCTCTAGCTTCCCCAGTGGAGTCACCATCTGTCGTCACCGTTCGTTCCGACGTCCTGGGACATCTCGAACGATAATGCGAGCGGTCGCGAAAAGATGGTTGAGACTCGTGTTTTTTGTTAAAAATATGTTCATTACTTCTGAGGCGCTCAACGCTGAACTATCCTCTAATAGAAGCAAGGTTTTCGAAAAGGGTTCTTTTGGAGTCGCCACCAATGTTTTGACCATAAACATTGGAAAAGGAGAAAAAGGCATTGATTTTAATAAAAACCAAACTTGGCCATTATAACCAGAGTCGGGTAAGGGAGTTAGTTACGTGTGGGGAAGGTATTAGCACCCCACAACGCCCCTTTCGGGTTCCCTATGACGGATTAATTCATTTAAGTAAAGATTACAAGAAATTACGTTGTTACCCTATTTTATTCGTACAGTATTTAAATATGGCTATCTACATGGTTTTATCTACATTGCATACAGAAAGCAGTAAATAAAGCAATAAAAGGGAAGAGAATTGAGAAGAACCTCCGAAGCAAGCTTTATATTATAAGTCTTTTATATAGAGGACGCTTTGCGGCAATCCTTCACTCGACAATGACTATTCTCTCGAATAAACTCGACTCGACTAAAATTTTCTAGAAGAATCGAATGCCGGAATACAAATTCCTTAACTGATTGTTACCTATTAAAGGCAATCAGAGAGATCATTCGAAGGAGGGAGAGAAGAAGACAAGTCTAGGAGTTGTCTGGGGTGTGGAGAATGACAAATGAGGCTCCTATTTATAGATTTCGCTGCCTGAAAATTTGGGACGGCCGTCTGGGTTGGGGCGGTCGTCCCAACTGCAAAATTTTCACTGAGCCAAGCTGGGACGGCCTGTTGGGTTTGAGACGGCCGTCCCATTTGAAATTTGTGGCTTGGGACGTGCGTCCCAAAGGTGATACGTGCGTCTCACTTGGCTTTTGGTGTTTGGGACGGCTGTCCCAGTTTGGGACGGCTGTCCCAACCTGTCTTGGCCAGCTTTTGCGTTCTGGGACCCCCGAGAAGCTTTCCTTTCCTTTTTCGGACGTCGTTTGATGCCGATGTGTGTCCGTTGAAGCTTTATCTTCATATAGGAAGTCTTCTTGGGCTTCATTAAGATGCCGAGCGAGCTTTATCTTCGTGTAGGAAGTCTCTTTAGTCTTTATTGTGTGGATGGGTGAACTCCGTCTTGTTGCGGGAGGTCTTTCTCGGTTTTTCTTTGATATGAGGCCGGGTGAACTGTATGAAGTTTCCCTAGCTTTTATTTTGAGAGGCGGGGCAAAATTAGGGGTCTACACCTCTTAATTTAGGCAGGAATCCATTTGAGGATTTGTTGATTTCTGTTGATTGTGCCTCTTGACTAGGCGAATGCTTCAATAGTGGTGAAGACTTTATGCTTTGGGCTTGTATTGCCTCTTGTATAGGTTGATTTCCCGTTTCTTGGGGATATTAGCTCTTTGCTTGCCTCTGAGTAGGAAGAGGCTTTTATTAGAAGTGAAGGGTTTGCATTTCACTGGGGTTATTCATATTGGGTGTTATAGGCGATTAACTCCCTGAGGATATGAATTTGTAGTTTTGCCTTTGCTGATAGGCTCATTGGGGATAGTTTTTCTTTTTGGTGATCAACCGGGGATTTGATCGCTTTCCCGGAGATCTATTTTGACTTGGCCCCTAGGGAGGAATGGAGTTTTTGACTCCTTGTTGGATGCTGTTGTTTTGAGCTGGCTTTGCCTATGCTCTTATTCTGCTGGGGAATGGGTTTTTACCTTTTTCTCGTGATTTTGGAAATTTGGCTTTTAAAATGTGTGCGCCTTTTATGCACACTGGCTTTTTGTTATCTGTTGGATGAAGAGATTTATTTTGTCTCTTTTCTTTTTGGTGATCCCGGGGAGTTTTATTGGCTTCCTGGGGATTCAATCTTTGATTTGATTTTTTATGGTGGAGTCTTGGCTCCTGACTTTTGTGAAGCTCTTTATTGAGTGGAATGAAGAGATTTTCTTCTTTTTCTCTTTTTTTGGAGATTTTCCAAGGACTTTGTCCGCTTCCTGGGGATCCAACTTTGATTATGGAGTCACTAGTGGAAAAATAACATTCTATGACGAGTTTTTATCACGGTCGTAATCCACCCGTCATAGTTTCTAGCGCGGTGGCAATTTTGTAATAAAATCATAAACTTTTATGTCATGTAATAGGTAACCGACATGGTAAGTGGAAAGTTCACTTTTTATGTCGGGTAAAACTTAACCGACATAGAAAGTTCACTCTGTATGTCGGTTAAGTTTTACCCGACATAGAAAGTGAACTTTCTATGTCGGTTAAAATTTACCCGACATAGAAAGTGTATTTTCTTCTGTTTTACACCTGTTTCGGCGTTCCATTTCATCACTTCACCCATAGTAGAGCTCCCCGTTCTCTCTGTCTCTTCTACGAACGTGATCGCCTTTCTACGTTTCTCCCCACCTAGCTCTGCTCGTTACGGTGCATTCTAGAAACATTAACATCAATAGAGTTGGCTCATCACGAGGTAACATGTCAAATATGCCTCTAACTATCCTAGGTTTTCCGCACCCTGATATTAATAACGAGCGCGAGGTCGAGGTCCTGCAGTTTGTTGAGGTTCCCGAGAGAAGTTGGAATGACGCCAACGAGGTTGCATTGGGTAAGCCAGAGAACCTCGAGGTTTGTAAGGTTCCCAAGCTCTGGAGGGATCCGACCCGGGAAGAAGGGGTTGTAAGAGAGGTTGAGCATTTTCAAAGAGGATACATTCCCAAGGAGGGGGGGATGGTGCTTTCTAGAAGATTGGAGACGAGGGAGAGGACTTGGAGGTTCTGGAAGGTTCCGAAGGAGTCCGGGATGGGGCCGGAGAAGTTGTTGCCGGTGAGGTCGAGGTAGCGGAGGTTGGGGAGGAGCGGGAGCGTGGCAGGGAGGAGACCGGTGAGGAGGTTCTGGGAGAGGTCGAGGTGGCGGAGATTGCGGCAGAGGGAGATGTCGAGAGGGAGCGTTTGGTTGATGGAGTTGTTTAAGAGGTTTATGGAAAGGAGGTTGGGGAGACAACAGAGAACGTTGGCGAGGAATGGGCCTCCGATGTTGGTGTCCAACAGGTCCAATGCTGTTACAGTGGTGTTCGAAGCGTCGCCGGCACAGGTCATTCCATACCAGTTGCAAGGGGTGGCGTCCCTTGAGTTCCACGACGAGAGAGACGCGTCTGGGTCGTCGAGAGAGAGCTTGAATTTACTTTCTACGTCGGTTCTTAGAAACTGACGTAGAAAGTCTTACTTTCTACGTTGGTTCTTAGGAACCGACGTAGAAAGGCTTACTTTCTATGACCCCTGTATCTATGTCGCCGCTTTAACCGACGTAGAAAGCCCATTTTAACCGATGTAAAAAGCCTTTTTTGCAGTAGTGAGTCTTGGCTCCTGACTTTTGTGAAGCTCTTTATTGAGCGGGATGAAGAGATTTTCTTCTTTTTCTCTTTTTTAGAGATTTGCCAAGGGGTTTGTTGGCTTCCTGGGGATCCAACTTTGATTTGGTTTTTATGATGGAGTCCTGGCTCCTGTAGACCCCTAATTTTGCCCGGCCTCTCAAAATAAAGGCTAGGGAAACTTCACACAAATAAAGTTCACCCGGCCGCATATCAAAAAACCGAGAAAGACCTCCCGCAACAAAACGGAGTTCACCTATCCACACAATAAAGACTAAAGAGACTTCCTACACGAAGACAAAGCTCGCCCGGCATCTTAATGAAGGCCAAGAAGACTTCCTATATGAAGATAAAGCTTCAACGGAAACACATTGGCATCAAACGACGTCCGAAAAAAGGAAAGGAAAGCTTCTCGGGGTTCCCGGAACGCGAAGACAGGCCAAAGCAGTTTGGGATGTCCCAAACTGGGACGGCCGTCCCAAACACACCTGGCCGTCCCAAACACAAAAAATGCATGTGAGACGCACGTCTCACCTTTGGGACGCGCGTCCCAAGTCCCTAAATTCAAATGGGACAGCCGTCCCAAATGCACCAGGCCGTCCCAAATTGTCCCAGTGTAAAATGTGCAGTTGGGACGGCCGTCCCAACCCAGACGGCCGTCCCAGATGTCCAGGCGAAAAATGGCTATAAATAGGAGCCTCATTTGTCATTCTCCACACCCCAGACAACTCAGAAGACTTGTCTACTTCTCTCCCTCTCTCGAATGATCTTTCTGATTGCCTTTAAAAGGTAACAATCAGTTAAGGAATTTATATTCCGGCATTCGATTCTTCTAGAAAATTTAGTCGAGTCGAGTCTGTAATCGAGAGGAGAGTCATTGTAGAGCGAGGGATTGCCGAAAAGCGTCCTTATTGTAACAGAGTTGATATATAAAGCTTGCTATGGAGGTTCTTCTCAAATCTCTTCTCCTTTACTGCTTTATTTATTGCTTCATAAAATGTAAATAAAATCATGTAGATAGCCATATTTATTGTACGAATAAAATAAGGGTAATCGCGTAATTTCTTATAATCTTTACTTAAATGAATTAATCCGTCATAGGGAACCCGAAAGGGGCGTTGTGGGGTGCTAATACCTTCCCCACACGTAACTAACTCCCTTACCCGACTCTGGTTATAATGGCCAAGTTGGTTTTTATTAAAATCAATGCCTTTTTCTCCTTTTCCAATGTTTATGGTCAAAACATTGGTGGCGACTCCAAAAGAACCCTTTTCGAAAACCTTGCTTCTTTTAGAGGATAGTTCAGTGTTGAGCACCTCGGAAGCAATGAACATGTTTTAAACAAAAAACGCGAGTCTCAACCATCTTTTCGCGACCGCTCGCATTAACGTTCGAGACGTCCCAGGACGTCGGAACGGACGGCGGCGACAGATGGCGACTCCACTGGGGAAGCTAGAGAGTTGATCCCATTTAGTGACGGAAAAATTCAAACTAAGTAAAGATTTGAAATTACGCCTTTACCCTTTTCTGTATTTTTATTGTATGGCTTTAAATAACTGCTGTATGATTATTTTTGCAAATTGTTTGAAATACAAACTGCACACAAAAACCCTTGCACACAACAGTCCCTCTATACCCGGGGGCAAGAGTGAATACCTTTAGGGAGTGGGTGGCAGATACGACCGGCTTGTTGGCACACGGGGCTACAACCGTTGTCGGAAACCACCAACTCAAGGTGATAACTCTCTTCTTTTGGTCTAAGGATGTCGCCACGGAGTTCCGTGCATGACCCGAAGACTGAGAGATTGAGAGGTCCCTATAATGGGGGCACCTTGGGGACCTTTGGCCTTGGTGAGAACAGTATAGAACCACCTAAACCAAGCACGTTTCTGCAGGAAAACCCTACCTCGTGATTAAATAAGCGTGGCTCTGCTCGTGGGTGTATGAATTGTGTGTGCATACGTTTACTGCATTTGTATTGATGCATTAGCATAGGGTAATCATACAACAAACAAAAAAAAATGAAAAACCCTAAAAATCATAAAAAGTGAAAAGATAAAAGACCTTTATCTCGGACAGTCTTCAGTTAAGCTAGCCTGGTTTCAGGTTCTTTGTAAGCTAAGTAGCCACGTTGACCGACAGAAGAGATAAAAGGTCATAAAAAAATATAAAAACAAATGAAAGCCATAAAAATTCCTTTTTATAATAAAAAGATTTTTGGCAAAGTCGTATCATTCATACCACATCATCCAATAAGTGGTAAAAACAAGAGAGAAAATAAATGCACTAAGAAAGGTATGCATAAACACATTCATCATAATAAAATCTCTCATACATAAACACATACATTCTAGGATGTATTAGATATCCTTAGACAATAGCAAAAGAGACCCAAGCGTGTTTATCACTTTCCTATAAGAGATAAGTGCGCTAAGGTATGTTGGCAACCTCTGAAAAAAGGAAGTCATCACACTGAATTGGGTATGGTACCTTTAAAACATAGGCTTCTGAAAAATACCAAAGCTATTGTCTAAATCATATCTATTTCACATCAACCATTTAAAAAGCTATAATAAAAATTGTTAAAATCATTTAGAAAGTGGCTGGTCTTCCGCCCGTCCTCACTCACGCTCAAAAAGCCAAGAAGATGGAACATCTGGAGGAACAAAACCGAAAGCTCACCACTGAGCTCAATACGCTGAAAGAACAAATGGCACAGATGTTAGAAATGATGCGCCAACAAAATCTTCATAAAGAGGGTCCTCAAAGTGGACAAGCCTCCCACCAAGAAGAAGAGGAGGGACCCAATGATGAACAAGCCCAATCTGATACAAGGGCATTGCATATTCATACACCAAAAGTATCAAAACAACAGCTGACTGCCCTGGAAGAACGATTGAGAGCCATGGAGGGGCATAATTTTGATGTTAAAGAGGCGGCTGATATGTGCCTCGTCAAAAACATCCAATTCCCTAACAAGTTCAAAACTCCGGACTTCCCAAAATACATGGGAATGACCTGTCCAAAAAGCCATCTTACAATGTACTGCCGTAAGATGGCTGCACATGCTGATAATGAAAAACTCCTGATCCACTGCTTTCAGGAGAGCCTGGCTGAATCAGCCTTAAACTGGTATATGCAGCTGGAAGGAGGGCAAATCCAAACCTGGAGACACCTGACAGATGCTTTTCTTCGTCGCTATAAATACAATATTGATTTGACCCCTGAAAGAGCAGATCTACAACTATTAAGCAAGAAAGACGATGAATCCTTCAAGGCATATGCCCAAAGATGGAGGGAGTTGGCAGCACAAGTAGAGCCTCCTCTATCCGACAAAGAGACTACATCCATGTTCATCAATTCTTTGACTAGTCCCTATTATGACAAAATGATAGGGAACACATCAACACTCTTCGCAGATGTGGTCATTATAGGAGAAAGAGTAGAGCAAGGTTTAAAAAGCGGAAGAATTACACAGAATTCCTCCAATTCCTCTACTCAACACGTTAAAAAGAGCTTTGGAAAGAAGAAGGAAGGAATCGTGAATGCAAGCAACTTCGCCACTCCTTCTTCCTCCTCGCAGCAGATCAAGCCACGCAGGCCAGAGAGGAAATTCACTCCAATCCCAACTTCCTATGGAAGCCTGCTGTCAAAATTATTGGATGCCAAACTCCTCGTATGCATCCCTCCCAAGAAGATGGAGCCACCATACCCAGAATGGTATAAATCTAATGAAAGCTGTGATTACCATTCAGGTTCTCCGGGACACTCCGTCGAAAACTGTACGGCCTTAAAACACAAGGTCCAAAGTTTGATAGAGGCAGGATGGATCACTTTTGACGCATCTACTCCAAAGGTGGACGAGCAGCCCTTATCAAAGCTCGAGTAAGAGACGGGATAAGGAAGACCAGCAATTTAGGGCTCATCATTTTTACCATCTCTAAAAAAATGTAATAAAAAAATATATCGAAAAGCTTCCGATGTATCTCTCGTGATCCCCGCCCCTGATCACGAGATTTTTGATTAAAATGGGCTTTGTAAATATTTTCCTCTATCAATACAACGAGGCATTATTCATAATATTCATATTCTTTGTTATTCTTTTCTCTCTCATTCCAAAATAATTGAATAAAATCTAAAATATAGACCATATAAACAGTCATGTCTGTGATTGAAAACTCTCTGCGGGATCTAAAAGCCGAAGGCGAATGGATTGAGTCAGACGGTGAGGAGGGGACCATTTCCCCGGACATGCAAAGACTGTTGGAGAAAAGAAGCTTAATTGATACAGCCCCATTAAGAAAAAACTGAGGCCATCAATCTAGGACAAGGAGACAATAAGAAAGAAGTAAATGTCGGTACCCAAATTGATAATGTTAGGAAAGGGGCAATAACGCCTTTGCGCTTATACATTGGATAAAAGCTGTACTATGGATATACATGTTAGAATCGCGCAGCGGAATGTTCGCGTGGTCGGACAAAAACCAAGAGGGGGGGTGAATTGGTTTCTTAATAAAAATTAGGTTTTCAAAATTTTCCCCAAATTTTACCGATTAAAAACTGCGTAAATGTAAATAGAGAAGAGTAGAGAAGATTACACAGTAGGTTTATACTGGTTCGGATCAAAAGACCCTACGTCCAGTTGCTAATCACTCAAAAGAGGATTAACGCTGTCACTAAGAACAAATTGTTACAAACAGATTACAAATGAACAGATAAAGATCAGAAAACACCTCTCTTGAAATCCACAAGAGATGAAGAACAGCTTTCCCTAGAGACGGCACAACACACAATCCACTAAGAACTCCACTTAGTGATTCTTATCGCTTCTAGCAT